TTTCCCTCTCTAAGTTCTGGTTCGCCACTGCTGTGGTCTGGTATTGAACTCACAACTCTTTGGGTCTAGTCACGGGATCTAACCAATGTCTTTATCCACTGGGGCCATGTGTCCTCGATGAAGTAATCACAATACCTCATTGCAGAGATATAGACAGATGTGCACTTTTCTTATTCATTTTATTTCTTTAATATGAATTAATGTTGTTAGTGTAGACTAATTCTTTACTGCTAAGAACTTTTGCAATTAAGATCATACTGAAAAAAAGAGGAGCCCCTTAGTGAATTTCTCAGGTGTTTGATTAACTCTTTAGAAATATCTGGTTGTGGGCGAAAAGCCGAAACATCAATCGATACCGCGCTATAAACCCTTAGAGATTATGATAAGCTTTTACTGGGACAGTAGTAGTTTGGTGCAGAATGGCTTCTTTGAACATCGGTATATAGACTGGCTTGTGTAACTGTATCCGAAACAATAGTAAAGACGACTATACAAAGTGAAAAATGTATTAAGGATGCGTTATTTGGTTTATGGTCACCAATTATCCTCAGAGCTCCCAACGCATTCTCCTCACATACAGTTTTGTTTATTTTTCATTCTAACCTGAGGAAGCCAAAGAGAGAGGATGCGTCACTGTGTCTGGCTGTGTTTACGTTTATTTCGGTCACCTACTTAATTGAGATAGAATTGGTTAAAGGTTTAAGTGAAGCCTATTGTCTATTCAAATTTTTAACTCAGCACGTAGCAGATCGAACCATGCTATTATTTACGGTAGAGTTACCACTTATATAAAAGAAAACTTATCAGAAAGTAAACTGGGGTTACCAGCCTGTTCAAAACGTCCGTCGGTTGCTCTGTCAAGTCCCAGTGTTGCAAGCACTGCCACCCCTTGGAAGTGCTGTCGAACCAATAAAGGTAGCTTTTATCAAAGAGTGAATACAGTTATCTTTGGAGTGTCCTAGTGAAGTATTCCCCAACTTCATCCTTTTGTGTAGGCCAACACCGACAAGCCATGTCCTTAAAAAAACAAAAACAAAAACCAAAAAAAAAAAAAATACAATAGATCACAGCGTTAGCACGATTGCTCCTTCGGCGAATCTGTGGGATCCAAGGATGTGGTCACACTGATTGTCTCGACGAAGCTCTTCGTTAATAAAATTTCCATTTCTCTCATCATCTTCACATAGAGTAGCTTGAAAACGTGTACTGGAAAGTCATATGTTCCTCATTTAATTTAATATATTCCCGCATATTTAAAAAATGGTAAAGGCAAAGAGAAAAATGTAAAAAGAAAATGGCGGACTTTTATTAAGTCCGCCATTTTCTTTTTTTTAAATAAAAAAAAACTGTACTGTAGTCGGTGACTTAGTTGCAAATGATGACAGAATATACTTTTCGCTGCGTTAAGTCAGGTACATCGAAGTTTAACCTGATTGGTGCCTTCTTAGCCACAAAGTGCTGATCAGTTCTCTATAGAATATCAGTTGTTGACCCCGATATATGAACACGTAGTCGACCAAAACGAAACTGCTATTCTTTAATCATCATAAAGAAACATTTTTCCCCTCCATCAGCATGGCTGATGCTAACCCCCTGGAGAATAACTCACTGTGCCTTTTTCGTCATGAAGAGAAAAGATTATATTGAATCACTTGCTAGATAGCAAGTGATTCGATATAATCTTTTCTCTTCTTTTTCTGCTACTAAGATGGGCGTACCTGACAATTTTTCTTATTGGAACCCATGTTGCAGATTTATGAATCTACCATTCGTCCGTGCTTTGAATATTGTTGCCATAGTTGGTCTAATGTTCCGTCTATATGTCTCCAGATTCTCGATAAAATTCAAAGAAAGCTCTGTAATTTTACCGGTCTTGACATGGCATTTCGACTTCAGTCACTTTCCCACAGTCGTGACGTGATTTTCCTTTGTCTTCTTTAAATATTTTCATGACAGTTGTTCCCCTCCCCTACAAATAAAAATTGTACATATGGAACTAGTTATAACTTCATACTGACTTTGAGGTATTATAGTGGAAGTAGTAAGAATGGTAAGTAAAAATGTGTTCTTTTGGTGCAAGGAATATTGTAGTTTGTTTGGGTAAGCGATTGTGGCTAGCTAAGTTTAAGTTAAGCTTTCATCGACCACTTTTGACCCTGTGCCACATTTCTTGTAAATTACCATCTCGCTCTCCTTTGTAACTAAACTGCGTGAATTTAAGCGTACTATTGGGTACCAGGTATCGTTGTTTTACTGTTTCTTTTCTCGCACTTCTCACCCGTGGAACTGTTCCGGTTTCTTGCATCCACGAAACTACGATCTTCAAAAACTTAAATGCAACATCAACTGCCATCATCTGTCTTCCTGAAATCTGTTCTTTTATTGTCCTTTCTCCTCACTAAAGTTTTCTCATTCTCTTCCACTCCCAGGGTTCCCGTACGATCACTGAAGTTAAGCAACATCGTTTCTGGTCAATACCTAGGTGGGTGACTGCTCGGGTATACCAGGTGTTGTAAGCTTAGATGTGTGGGTGGTGTAATCGATAATGGCTCGGAATTGATAATCGATGAGCCGAGTTACAATTCCAGTTCGGTTCATTATATTCTCTTAGGCGAATATACCGTTGGGAAATGTATGAATTCCCCCCCCCGGTATAGGTTAATTAGTAAGAACTGTACACTATTCACATTGCTCGGACTATCATCCTCATTTTTGTTGCTATATTTATCACAACGTTTCGGCCGCTGTACGCTCCGGCCTTCTTCAGGTGGTTGGAATGTCGAACTGAACCTTTTATTTCTTTCGCTGGGATAGACTGTTCTATTTCCACATGCCATGTCTAATGGATGTCATCAGTTATCTCCTGTTAATTCCCCTCTCCAAGTTCTCTACTGCCTTAACCAGGTATTGAACTCTCACTCTTTGGGTTCTGTCACTAGATCTAACTAACGCCTTTATCCACTGTATCATGTGTCCTTGAGGCATTCGACATTCCAACCACCTGAAGAAGGCTGGAGCGTGCAACGGCCGAAACGTTGTGATAAATATGGCAACAAAGATGGGGATGATAGTCCGAGCAATGTAAATAGTGTACATAATACCTCATCTCAGAAATATAGACAGATAATAAGAACTGTATCAGTAAAACCATTATTATTTCCAAACATAACATTGCGTACAAAACATTTAGATTACGGCAATAAATAACCCATAGAGATTGATCTGAATTCAAAACCTGCGGAGGGTCGTTTGGGGACCTCGTGGCACGTAGTGCATCGGGTCTCTGTAATCGTCCCTTCAAAAAGTGCGGATGGTCCTGCACGAAACCTTCACCACTATAATCAAATCTCATGTGCTATACATGCGGGTTGGGGACCGCTTGTGAATTCCAAATTCCCATGAAACTCCAATATTGGAGCCGGCTCAACCCACCTCGGGTGAACGCCGTTATAGGTACAGGTATAGAGATTGATATGCCGCTAAACAAAAGCAACCAACGTAAGCCATTGCATCTTAGGGACATTATCGCCTTGCTTGTTGAACGATGTCTGTATTGCTGGAAATGTTTAAGTCATCAATTGGTGATGTCCGCTGGTCTTCTATGAAACATAAGTTGATGATGACCGCCGTTATATAAGATGCTATATATGTTCGCTATGCTATCGAGTCCAGGCCGCACTTTCAGCTATAACTACTGCGACTGTGTATGTCTGCCCGGCATGGGACTTATCAGCCACAAACGGACCTGCAAGCGACGTGTACAGACTCCCGCTTGATCTTCGTTTTGCGATGCCGATCCAAGAAGATAAGTTGATATTTATTCGTATTGTGTTGCTTTGGATTAACATGTTATGGTTGGCGGGCAATACAATAAAATCATTTATTCCTAGATGTTCTATCTGAAACAAACACAAAAGTAACTCAGTTTTTTTTTTCATGGTAATTATTTATTCAAAGGCAGAAAAACAAGAGTTTTATTTTTTTTTAAATACTGTTTCAAAGCCCATTTAAATAATTCAGTTCCAAAGAACATTTGAGAAACAAAATCCTTACTGAAAATTTTTCTTGCTTTTGGAAAAATCGTGGAGGAGAGAACAAAGGATATTGAAGAGGGGGAAAAAAATTAACGGCTGCTTAAATATTTTAATCTACATAAATACTTTATTTTGTTAATAAAAGGTTAGATTTTTGATCGAATCGACTACAGGGTTAATTTTAATTTAATAACCTTTCAATTTAAAAAAAATAAAATGAACTTATACGGTTGAAAAGTATAAATGTCCACACATAGGAAATAGCATTTCAAAACAGACGAAAAAATTATTGACCGAATTAATTATACTCACTGATTATAATTAAATTCATAATTAATCATAGGACTGAAATGAATATAAAATTAATTATAATCGATATTCAATTCCAATTAAATTGGAAAAAGGCAACAAATATTTAAATTCTTCAATCTTTTTCGATAAGGAAGTCCACAAACAATTCGGTATTCATTTAAATTGAATGTACGCTTGAGTAAAGGAATTTATATATATATATATATATAATTTGTTGGTAAAGTTGTGGCTATTTTTATGTTTTAAAATTTTAGTTACGAATCAAAACACAAGCGCCCCCCTCCAGCCAGGATTTTCGATGGGCAACTGGAAACGTTCCCACAATGCAGCAGCTCAATATGGCCGCTGATCTCAACAAGAAAACCATAAATTGACGGAGGCCACAAAAAAATAAAAATAAAAATAAAGAAAAATGACACGGGATAGGGATGGAGGACCAAAGAATAAAAAAGAAAAATCCAGAAAGAAAAAAAAAAGTCCGTCATTGATGTTTGTTGATTTAATTGATTGATTAATCATAATAATGACAAATCGAATTGCTTCTCTTTTTTTGTTGTTTTTTTTTTCATTATATATATATTTTTTTTAATGGCTGTCTGACTTATTTTAATTGTTTATTATTTTTGGCTTGAGGTTCAGTAATGCTGGATAATTTCATGTCAGCGGAGAATCTGTGCGGAAGAGAGGACTTCCGGTTCCCATATCCGCTTTGTACGTGGCCTCAATTAGCAGACGACCATTTTCGGTAAAGAAAGCTTTAACGGACATCGGATCGACATTATCCGGAATTGTGGATTCTTTGCTCATATTACGAGTTGTAGTACGGTTTCCTATCTTCTCTTCCCGGCGAGCAGTAACCACTAACTTCCGATCCAATGTTTTTACTGTTATCTCCTCAGGTTTGTAATCTTCAATATCAATCTCATCTTTGTATCTTCTTTCTTCTATAAGAGGACGAGACGGTGGGGTACACTGACCGGAGGGCATTGGACTGGTCATCTGTGGCCCAAGTGGACTCCGAGCAGAGCCGTCTTTAAGGGCCCCGTAGTCTGGGACTGGCAGTGGTGCTTCAATACTCAAAATGCCATCATTGGACATGGTACACTGAAGGTTCATAGGGTCGATATCTTTCGGTATGTTGACCGATCGGGAATATTCTCTGGAAACTGAAGATCCACCGGATTTTGATTCGTGTTTCGCATGAACTTGGATCTTATCAGCATCCATTTTGACGTTGACCTCTTCCGGTTTGAAGTCGCGCACATCAAACCGGGCCTTAAATACAGGCTTTCCTTCGGCGTCCTTCTCCACGGTACCAATGGCGTCTTCATAATCAATCCCACCGCCAGTCATACCACCCCCAATGCTGCCGGCAGTGCTGGGGCCGCCCAAGCCGAAATCTTCACCGAGACGGCTCGAGATGCTGTCAAACTTGCCGTTCGGTTTCAACGAAAAGAACCCCTTGCGCATGTTTTCAACTTCACTTTCCCATTCTCGTCGACGTCGATCCATGTCTCGAGTCATGGAATCCCAAATTTTCGACTGGCGTTCTTCAAAACTTAAATCGTCCTTGAAAATTGGTATGCGAGTGGACATCTTGAATCGTTTTCCGTCAAGTTTTTAAAATATCTGAAAAAAAAAGAAGAAAGAAAAACGTGAGAACTTAGAATAAAAACCAAATCTTTTGCGTCAGTTTTGATATAAAATTTAATTTAGTTCATTCAAGTCCAACTTAATTATAAAAATATAAATAAAAATCCAGTATCAAATATTAGCAGATCACGACATCGATCAAAGAGATGAAATTTAAATTTTTATTATTGCATTATTCCAAAATTTTTAACTCATCAACAGATAGCTACTTAATGTCAACAACTGAGCACAAATAGTTATTAATTACAAAAAAATAGTAATTAATGCATCATATTACCCATAACTGCAAGAATGTCGTTTTTGATAAAAGTTAAAAACTAACCATTAATATGTAAAAAATGCGTATATTGTCAAAAATTCCCTTTTCCACAATATAGCTATTTTTGCTATGTTATAATGCTTATTACCTAAAGAATAATAATACTGAATAATTTTTAAACATTAAAGTATATTTAATCACATCTCCGTAATAGCTGTCGCGATCTGTAAAAATAAAAAAATCCAGTATTAATATAAATAAAAAATAAATATATAAATAAATATCCGATATTAATTATTAAAAATATAAATAAAAATCCAGCATTAATAATATCTTTCTAAAACAAAATCACTTATTAGTTATGCTTTTATAAAAACACATCTTATTAGTTATAGATTTTTGCCGATAACCCATAAATATCATATTATCCATAACTTCATGCACAAGAATGTCATTTTTGACAAAAGTTAAAAAAATAACCATAAATGCATAAAAAATGCATATATTGTGGAAAATTCCTTTTTCCATAATATAGCTATTTGTGCTGTTATAATGCTTATTATCTAAACAATAATACTGAATAATTTTTTTCAAACATTAAAATATATTTAATCACATCTCCCTTTCCTGTAAAAATAAAAAAAAAATCTGGTATTAATTATTTTAATAGTATAAATAAAAAATAAATATATAAATAAAAATCCGATATTAATTATTAAAAATATGAATAAAAATCCGGCATTAATAATATCTTTCTAAAACAAAATCACTTATTACTTATGGTTGTATAAAAACACATTTTATTGGTTATAGATTTCTGCCGATAACCGATAATATTCCCTTAGTATTGTGGATTTTTGGAACAGAATTTGTAGCTTGCAGTTTTCAAACACCCCATTAAAAATATTGATATATTATTTAGCTATTATTCTTTTGTTATATATTTTTGGGGGTGTTTTTCTGGTCTTTTATAGAACTAGAATTTTTTGCAACACGTGTTGAAAGCCTCATAGTATTGAGTATTGTTGAAGTTATCGCATCCTCTCCACATTTGAAACTCTCCCTACTGTATTTATATTTACAGTGGCTACTACTGTGCATTATATTTTACCAGAATGATATATATATATATATATATATATATATATATATATATATAACTTAAAGAAAAGATATGCAAAAAACAATATAGCATTTTTATTAAATAAGTATTTGTTATTTTAAGCATTAAATTATTTTTAAAATAGTGGGAGTATTATGTATGTTAAATGATAAAACTTTAAAAAAAAAAATGAATGAAAATTTATTATACTATGCTACGCATCCTAGTAAAACCAACAGTCCTTACCTTTGCACTTCTCCCCAAATTTGGTTTTGATCAGTCAATGTGGGGCTATTTTAGGGGGTGGGAGGGACGGATGGACGAACAGAAGTCACAAAATTTTATATATAATATAGATAGATAGATAGATAGATAGATAGATAGATAGATAGATAGATAAAGAAATAACAAAAAATGGTTTTATTTTTAAGGATCGCATTAAGAGGTAAATTTAAAAAAAAATTAATTCAGTTTCGAAAATTCAGATACTGTATAAAACGACCTTTAAATTCGCAAAATCCTCCTTAAATATTGGTGGGGGGTTGTCTTATTTAATTCAAAAAACGAAACCTTTAATTCTGAGTGATGTTTGTCGGTAGGCTAACCCCGATCTCGCTGCGATAACCAATAGATTTTCCAAGCGTAGCTTAGATATGTCACAAGGCGGAAAGTAGGGGGCACCCAGTGAGGATCGAACTCACTACTCAGTCGTAATCGTTTTAGCGAGCCAATCTTGCTAACCATTACACCACTTCGAGGTGTCCAACTGCGATAACAAATAACATACATGAAAAGATTCACATTATCAAATAAACTGATAATAAAAGTAATAAAATCATTTGTATCTGATATATTACTTGCATAATAAATTGCCTATTCGAAGATTAATTCCATATCAATGAAATCAACTTGTATCCATGGAAGATCAGCTGAGAAAATGTAAACATCGGATTATGATTGCGTTTCCAGAAACCTTTATCTTTCTCCAAACTTTCAATAACAGACTGAATTAAAAAAAAGTGGAATGTGCTATTATCGTACTGTTATTAGCAGTATTTTGTGATTGTCAATGAAGTATGTCGGAGTTACCTCCTCCTTGATTTCCAAATTGTCACTAGGGGGTCATTCTCCCGATACTATAAATACTGGGAAACTTCTTGTCTCTTTCTCTTCTTTCTTCATTTCAGCGAACACAGCCACTATGTGAGCTCTCACAAAAGACAGCGTTTCCCATTTCTGGGAAGACGCTATGAACATTACAAACGTACACGTACGTACGAACATTCACCAAAATACGAACATTCACCAAAGAACAAACACAAATGTTCACACACAAACACAATATTAACTGTGTATGTGCTTTGTAATTTGTTGTTAATACATATATTTGTTTATATATATATATATATATATATATATAGATAATATTAGTGGAAAATATACATACATATGCAAAATATATATAAAAAATTCCCATACATGTATATTTTCAGAAAAAAATTTTCCAAGAGGAAGGATCCAGGTAGAACTCAATATCTAGGACAGAGTGAGGATATAATAAAAGGCTTAAACACTAATATTCCATGGTCATAATTTATTCCATTGGAATCGTAAATGTAGATCAAATCATCAGACCTACAAATTCAAAATGGAATTTTGAATTTGAATATTAGTGTTTAATTTTATTTTATTATTATATATATATACACACACACACACACACACACACACATATATATATATATATATATCGGTTTTATTTGTCTTCTTTCAACTTCGGGTGGCCACAACTAGAGTCCGCCATTTCTCTTGTAGCTAGACCTTCTTCTAGCAGGAAATTTAAACGCACGTATTTTCTTTTCTTCTCACCCCCCCGGTCCTTTACCTAATGGTAACTTCCCGACGTGATTGAATTTTCAACTCCTGCTAACAGACACTAGGCGATATATATGTACAAACGCAAATTTTTTACACACGCTTCCCAAACGAGAGCCAATCAAGAAAAACATTAAAAAACTTCTTTTCCTATCCTAATACGCACGCTGTACGCTATTAACGAAAAAGTTTTTATACGGCAACAAAATTTGTGATTAGACTGATGAACGTACAAAATCACAATTTTAATTTACTTCAACATGTCTTTACAAAACACAATTTCTCCGGTAAAAGAGCGACAACTCTACAGAAATCACAGTGAGTCAAGAACATTTTTTTTTCATTTAATACAAAAAAAACAACTGTTTAATTTTCCTACAACGACAAATATACTTAAGCAAACCTTCTCACTTTCATACATACAGATCAGCAACTTAAGTTCTTTCAAATAACACACAATCAAGAACTCTAAAGTGTTTTAACAACTTTACCATCATATATTTTGTATTTGTTGTGTTTTATAAAAAAATATTTATTGTTGAACAAATTCTTATACTTGATTATTTCTCTTGTTGTCTTTGTGACATTTGATATAGTAAAAATAGTAGAGGGTCAGTTTTTTTTGTATTTTAAGCAATACAGATTGGCTAACCCACTATAAGTATAAGTAAATGGCCATTAGTACACCAGGCTGTTTTTAATTGTTTAGATATAGGAAAAGAAGAGAAAGAATAAGAATAAGTATTCACAAGAGATCACGTGATGAAACGTAAACAAAACAATGGTTTCCCTTTTAGGGGGCGTGTGTAGGAAAAAACATGATATAGAATGGATTTTGCTATTTAGTTTATTTTGAACTTCTAAGGTTAGAGTAACAACATTTCCAATAACATCTTCTTTAAATAATCAATAAGTAGTCGTCTTATTCTACAGGTAGAGGATATAGTCATGAAAACATTTGACGTCGTCTTATCTAAAGGTCGCCTTATACGCGGAAATATGCGGTGTGCAAAATTAAAGTTTCATTATATTTTCAGTAAACAAATAAAACTTCAAATACTATGACTGAAACCAGAAACGCCTTTTTCTTACTTGACTAATCATGAACATTTGACTTTCCACTCGGTAAATATCAAGGAAAAAACATTTTGTGGAGTGTTAAAATATTCTGCAGCACTAACGAAGGATTAATGCCTATCATCATATTTTTGCAACGATGGACATTATTAGATTAAAGCCACCATTATTTAGTCTGGCAAAGGGTCACACTAAATAGAGTACTCAAGGGATTATATGAATGAATTTTCTGGAAGGCGATCTCGTTTAAAATCGGTCACAAACACTAGCCCTCGTTGGTATTCACTATACTTAACTTAGACTGGCACAAGGAGATGAAGATGGAGTACTAATTGAGAATAAAGCTTCCTATATTAGCAAATAAGGAGGCACGGAGGAGTAATGGATAGCGGCTCGGATTGAGGAATCGGAGAGCCGAGTTCGAATTCCAGTCGAATCCATTACATTCACTTACGTGCTAATACCCTTGGGAAAGGTATAAAATATGGGTAAATAGCAGGACAGACTCGGTTCTATAGCCTTGGATGACAACTGGTCTATCGAAGAAAGAAATGGCCA